CAGCAGGCGAGACAGGACAGGTCTGCCGGGCCATGTGGGTCAGCTGCCTGGCCGGGAATGGAACTCAGGCCTCAGTGGCTGGCGATAGCTTGATAGTGCTGGGACTTCAACCCCTGCACAGGGGAAGCTCTGAAAGCACTTTTTAAGCTTGCTTTTCTTCTACCCTTCCAGACCACAACACACACATCCAGAGCCAACACATAGCAACACACACAGATCCTTCCTCACACTCCACAGACACACACACACCTATAGACCACACCCACCCATAGCACCAGACACACACAACCCACACCCCCATAGCAATAGACACACCTAAACCCATACACACACACACACAGTAACAGACACGCCCAGACATACCCACACTCACACAGATCTGCGTAACATGTGTGCATACACAGCTACAGGCGTGCCCAAACTCATCCATACACACACTGACACACGTGGCGACACACCCAACCCATACCCACACTCACACAGATCCCCAATTATACACCCACACTGGCGCTCAGATTTCCTCACCCCGGCACACCCACACATCCACGACGCCCTCACCCTACATACCTGTCCCCACCTAATCGACATCCACACAGAACCCCTACACTGCTACTGCCCTAGAGCAAAACCACGCAGACACAGACCCCTGCCCCATTCACCATGATACCCACAAACATGTGCACACCCACCTAGATAGTTGACACAGATCTACTCACACTCTCCAAAAGAACACACCCTCACAGACCTCCCTCCTTCCATACACAGACACACCCTTAGGTATAAAGGCTTATGCCTACCCTTATGCTTTCCAGATGTAGCAAAAACTGTCAGCAGAGTGGGGACAACCCACCAAGGTAGTGGTGGGCCCTGGAGACACTGTGGCCTCCTGTGCAGACACGCTACTCCAAAGGGCTGCTCTGAGAAGCCTGTCCAGCCAGCAGGCCCTGGCCTCTTTCTGACCCTCACTCTCCTTCCTCCACAGAGCCGCCCCATGCCCACAACTCTACACATCCTCCCTAGCTTGAACAAGAAAAAATAAACACAAACAAGGTAGCAGCAATGGAGAGGGGCGCTGGGTTCCTGATGGAAGGAAAGCAGGGCTGAGGCTTAGCAGCAACTCACAAGGCCAAGAAAGGTGTGAGATCCAACTTGCTTTGAAGTCAGAGTCTCAGAGGCCCTCGCCTTTGTCACAAGCAAAACTGAAGGGGAGACAGATGCTGGGGAGATTCCCTTCAGGTTCATATGCTCTCCAGATAGCTTCTGCTGGAGAACCCAGGGACCCCCTGGCAGATTTAAATACAGAACATCCTGGTGCTGGGCCAGGCTTGGCAGTCAAGAGCTAAGCCAGCTTGTCCTTGCTTCTTGGGTTTTCCTTAGCCTGGCCATTCCGTCTGGATTCCTGAGCTGCTGCAGGGCTCAGAATCTTCTACTCCCAGGGCTGGGTGCAGAGCTGTTTGTGTGTGTGTACCTGTTTGCTTCAACTATTCTCAGGCGATTCAGATGGGGGTGAAAAATCATGTACATATGCATCCTTTCGCTGAAATAATTTAGAACATAGCACACATTAATTGGGCTCCTTAAAAAATAACATCCTTCAAAAACCCAATGGAAATGCTACTATTAAGACATTTTAAACCATCACACTCTGGGCTCATTTTCACAACTGTCTACATAGGAATTTTATCTCGAGTATAACGCTGTTTCAGAGCCAGAATCAGTTCAGCTCCCTAGCCCATGAGAGGAATCCTGGCTTGTCCTTACTTGCAATTTTTACTTCTATTTCCCTTAATTTACAAGAAGACCTGCCTAAGGGTAATCAAGCAATAGAAGAGTTTTGTTGGCTGTTAATTCCAGTCGATGCAGAAAGACAATGGCCTACATACCCTCCATTGATCTGTGGCAAGAGGAAATTTCTGAATGATTTCCCTCCAACGGCCCCCCACCCCCCAAACCCCAAGCTTTCCATGCTCCACTGGGTCTAAAATACAAAACATCAGCTCCTAGCAGTTAGGCTTTCAAACAAACCAATTTTTAAAAAATGAACGTGGCTCACCCCAAAAAGCAGCCTAACATTCCCACTGATCAAAAGTACTTGTTTAGAAAAACAAGTTTTGGAATTAAGTGGAAAGAAGGTCTTTGAAATACAACTTGGCCTAAACAGCACCACATTGAGGCTTTCCCTCCCCGGTGTACATTCTTTATGGTAGAGGCCAGGGAATCTGCAGGGTCTTGGCGGCCCCAGCATACCCAGGCCCCGGTTTCCCCTCCCCCGCCGCTGGGGCCCTCAGCCAGGGGACGGGCATCTGGGGGAACTTTGAAACTGTTCCCCAGTCCCTTTGGCAGCGGGCGCCAAGCACCAAAACGCTCCAGTTAACACCAGCGCAATCATTGTTAACGTGAAACAGCTGCCCGCGGCCTGGCGGGGCCCACGGGGCCCGCCCCCGCCCGCCCAGCCCTGCCCTGCCCTGCTCTGCTCTGCTGTGAGGCCCAAGACCTGCTAAGGCAGGACTGAGGGGGCGCCACAGTAGATAGAGCCCAGCTGTTGCAGATCAGAACACAAACTCTTGCTAAATCTTTTACCTACTTTGTAAAGTGTCTGAATGGGGGTGGGGTGGGAGTAGGAGGATGGGGAAGGAAAAACATGGATTTATGCAGCCGATTTTTTAAGTTTCTAAAGGGGTTGCAGGAAAACACTATAGTTCTGCTCAGTTGTGGTAGAAGTAGCAGGCAAATCAGTCTTTTCTTCTGCTCTTCCTTTTTCTAGAGATAGGGGTTGAATTTGCTTTCTGGCCACTTAAGAGCGGTCTGAAGGACAGACACTAATCCTTTTGCTTAAGTAGGAAGCTGTCCACGTAAACAGTACCGAGATGTAAGTTTAACCTGTGTAAATCTTCCGTTCCCTCCCCAGGACAAGGACACGGGCAGGCTTTCCAAAGTCCTAGCAAAACCATGATTCTCCAGCCCAGCCAGCGCCACACCTTACCCCTGCACCGCTTCCATTTCAGCACTGAAGGGCCAGCTGACCCAGCGCCTGCTGGGACCCTCCTCCCCACCCCAGTGAGTTCTGCTCTGGCAGCAGCAGACAGGACTTTCAGCTGCCAGTGGACACGTGATTCACTTGGTGACTCAAGGGCAGGCCACACCCCCCAGCCCTCCCAGCCAGAAGCTGCCACCAGCCAGCCGGCCAACCCTGGGATGCATCTTATTACCAAGGGGAACAGCTAACTAGTGCCCTTGACAGTCCAAATAATTACTTTCTTTCAGCTGAAAGAACTTGTTATAAAATACATAGAGGCAGACTTTTGAACTCTACCTTTGCCAGCTCCTAGCTCCCAAACCCCTCCAAGACCTGAGTGAGACCAAATGGGAGAAACTAGAAAGCTGATTTGTTTAAAAAAAAAAGAAAGCTACCTTACACATCAATACCTTTTTATCCCAAAAATTTTATTGGGGGAAAACTACAAAACATTTACAGTACAATGTTTACAGTCACAATTTGTAGTGAACTGATTCCCCAGAATATATTACAACTCAAGTTGACTTATCTTGTTACATTCAAAAACCTACTTCTGTCAAAGTAGTCCCGAGTACATACATACATAGTGCTCCAACTGTACCTACGAACAAACTAAGCTACTGCTCACTCATCCAGCCCAGGAAGGCTTGGGGGCCATTCCTGACTTTTTACATGGAAAAAAAAAAAAAGGTACAAGTTTTGGAATTTTGTAATTAAACAAGGCATATTCATGTACTACAAACCATTTCAGCACTAAGAGGTGGCCTCTTCACTTTATAGCTATATAAAAAAAAAAGTGGTAAAAATCTTTTCCTTTTGTGCAGTTGAACCCATCCTACATTCAAATTCTCTCAAGCACTGATAGACAAAATACTTATTTGGTTGAGGAAGATTTAAGGCAAGTTCTGGCCCTTCCAAAGGCACTGTGAGGGAACCCCCCCCATTATTGCTACATGTCTTTATATTCAGAGTATGTCACAGTAGAACTGGCGGAATAAGCAAAACAGAAAACATTTTTTTTGCAAATTAATCAAGTTGGAATGAAAAAAATAGGCCACACTTAAGCCTGATTGCAAAATATGTGGTCACTTTTTTCTTTAAAGTTGGATGGGCTACAACCATTATACATTCTAAGAAAACTCATAAGATATTCCTCAAACTACTTCCACAGCATCAGATAGATTTCTATAAAAGAAACCATGCAATCTTTCAAAATTTACGTAAACAAGGAAAGAAATTAATGAAATAAATATTACATACAATCTCTTAAATTAAGAATTTTTTACTCATTTACAATAAAATAACCAGGTGAAGTTACAAAAAGCATATATTACTGTGAAAAGAACATACACTCCACATTTTGCCGATTAATAATGGCAATCATAATTTAACATAATAAAAGAATATATATCTATTGTTTTTCATCATACTTGATAAATACAGTATGAACAAAATTCTCAATGTATACTTTTCACAAGATAATAAATAAGTTAAATAGTTTTTTTCATATTGAGTTGTGGTGCAGTGGTGCGAATCAACTCAAAACAGCTAAAAATTCAGCAGTTATTCCCCAACAATTACAACTAAGGTCTGCCCGAGGCTTCCAGAAGGAGCAGACAAAATGGTTCTAAACTAAATATCCACTCGTGGTGGCAATGAAAACCAGTAACCAGTATGAAACTTTGGAATGCAAGGGCTTTTTCCAGACATAAAGAACCTTGTTTAAGAAACCACCCATGGAAGTAAAGGCGACTATCAGAAGGCATATTCTCGGTAGCATCTGGACTCGACAAGCTCATAGGTCTAGCAAAGTGGTGGCTGCTGGTTTGTGTACGCGGGTCTCAGACCAACGGCGATTAGGAACTTCTTTCACGGTTAAGTTTCAAGTGAGGATATGGAATGGTGGTTGGTAGCTGCTGGTGCTGGGTTGATTTGTCCTCAAGTCCCAAACTCTTCGGAGGCCTAAGAAAGTTTAAGTGTTTGGTTTTTTTTGTTCTATTCGCATCATAACTGCCCTGTTGTGAATATTTTGTTCATCAATACAAAAAGTTTGGTAGCTTTTTCTCAACAAGAAGGGAACTCCGTAATAATAATAAAAATAATAATAATAATAATAAAAAAGGAAACCGAAAGGGGAGGGGTGGGGACCCCTTCCCAGTACAGAAGTTCGAGTCCAAGTGCTCCCGTCGGCCTGCAGTCTGCTCGTGCCCATGCACCCCCCACGCTCATGCCCGCCAGCCTATACCCCCAGCAGGGCCGAGGCGGCAGGGGTGCCCACCAGAGCCCCCAGAACGGCCTTCCCTTCCTCCTCACTGGCGCCCTCTTGCCTCAGTCGTCAGAAACGGAGAGGCGGCTGAAGATGGGCAGGCGGCGGCCCGGGTCCAGGCTGGGGGACTCGGAACCGCTGAGGCTGCCGGAGCTCAGGGAGCCGCTCAAGTAGCTGTCGCGGTCAGACAGAGAGTCCGGGGGGCTGGGGGGCGCGTCGAACACCGGCGACTCGGACAGGCGGCGCGGCAGCTGGAAGTTGAAGGGCGGCGAGGGCGGCGCGGCGGCACTGGCTGGGAGGGGCGCGCTGGGCGGCGCCGGGGGCTGCGCAGGGGGCACCAGGCCCTGCTGCTGCTGCTGCTGCTGCTGCTGCTGGCTGCGATAGTAGGCGGCGGCCACGGTCACGGCGGCGAAGTTGTGCGTCTGGATGGCGAGCGGCGTGATGAGGCTGCTCAACTCGGGGCCGAAGGCGAAGGCGTTGTTGGCGCACGAGGCCGACGAGCAGGCTGAGCACTGGGCACTGGGCGCCAGCAGGTCCTCCGCGCCCCCGGTGCTGTACAGCAGCGCGGCCGCGGCGGCGGCCGCTGCGGCACAGCACGTCGAGACCCCTGAGGGCGTGGAGGCCGCCGAGGCGGAGGAGCAGGAGGACGCGGACGAGGAGCAGGACGAGGCCGAGGAGCAGGAGGGCGGTGGCGGGGTCAGAGACGTGGGGCTGTCGAGCAGCAGCGGCGAGTCGAGGCCCCCCGGGGGCTGGTGGTGGCCGGACGGGAAGCCGGAGAAGCTGAGGCTGTGGTGCAGCTTGGGCCGCGGCTCCCGCGGGAAGCCCAGGTGCAGCGCGTCGCGGGCGCTGAAGGCGCGCAGGTCCCCGGAGGCGCCCCCCGACGGCGCCGGCCGCCGCTCGTCCGCGTTGTGGATGAAGTGGCAGCGCGGCCCGTAGGGGCAGAAGCCGATGGTGTGGAAGGTGCGGCACAGCTCCGTCTTGTACTTGGGGTGGCGGGTCAGGCTGCGCAGTTCTCGGAAGCCGTGCGCGAACTGGCACTTCTCGCCGTACTTGCACGTGCCGCTCTCCTCGAAGGGCCGGCACAGCTCGGTTTTGTAGCGAGTGGAGTTGATCTGGGAGCCACCGCCCCCCTTCTGCTGTTGCTGCAGGTGCAGGAGGTGCTGGCTGCGTTCGCCGTTCTCGCTGAACGAACGATCCCGAAATTTGTTCTCCTTGTTCAGCAGGGCAGTGCCGGTGCCGGAGCCGGTGCCGCCGCCGCCGCCCCCAGAGGGCTCCTTGAGGGTGTTGTAGGAGGCCGGGCCGCCGGCCGCCGCGCTGCCGCAGCTGCTACCATTACCCGCGCCCGGGAACTTGGGCGAGCAGCTGCCGGGGCTGGGCGCGGGATGAGCGAGCGCGTGCAGGTTGCTGGCCGAGTGCCTTCCCAGGAAGCCCGGCGTGAAGCCCGAGCTGGGGGCGGCTGCCACGGGCGTCCCCACCGCCTTCTTGTCCAGCATGTTGTTCAGATTGAGGTTGGCCAGGGATTTCTCTGTCTGCCAAAAGGAGGGGAGCGGAGAGGGGATGAAGAATGGAAAGGGTGGGAAGACTTGGGGCGCGCTGCAGAGTAACTTCTAGTCTTGTCTCTTTCTCTTTTGCAGCTTTCGACTCAACCCCCCCCCCACCCCGTCCTACGCCTCCCTCCATGCACGCGCGCCCAGTCAAGTTCGCACGGGGAGGAACTGCACGGCCGAGGGCTCTCACCGCAGGCCGTGCTCGGTTTCGACATGTGATCTGATCCTCAGCCTGCCGGGCTCGGGAGGCTCAAACCTCGTCCGGGAAGCCCCGGGGAGCGTGGCCGCGGTCCGGCCCAGCCGGAGGAGCTAACCAGCTGCAGCGACTCCCTCCAGCTCTTCCTCCTTCCCTGCTCCTTCCCTCCCGCGCCCACTAGAGCACACACTAGCACAAACTTTGGGATTTCCCCCAGCCCCAACAGTCAGGTGTTAAGGGAACCCCCCCAAAGCCAAGGGCAGAAAAGGCAGGGTCTGAACACTCTTAAGGGCTTCCTGCTCGTCCACGCCCTCCTCCCTCCCAGCTCCCCCGCGTACCTTGCGCAAAAAGTCGATATCGTAGAAGGCGGACAGAAGTGTGGTCGACATGTTTCTGGGTCCTGTTATGGTCTGAGTTGCAGGCTGGGAGGTTCGGAGGAGCCCTGGGGCAGCGCGGCGGGGCTCGAGCCACGACGAATAACGGTGAGGGGCGGGGGAGGGACCGAAAGTTTGCCGTGGGGCGAGGAAAGAGACGAAGCAGCGTGAAGTGGGTAGAGGGGTGCCCGGGAGTGCGGATTGGGGGGAAAAGGAAAGGGAAGCAAAGAGCGCTCCTCCGCGCCCCGGGGTGCCCGGCCCGCCCCCCCCCCCGCGCGGAGCCGACAGCAGCTCGCTGACCGCTGGAACTCCGCGGGTAACGAGCACGCGCCCTATATATCTCCCGAGCGCGGCAGCGGCGAGCGGGCGTGCCGGGGGAGGGGACAGAACGCTGACCCCGCCGGGGTCTCCAGGCAACGCCGCCAGCGGGCTCATGGACGTCAGGCTCCATCCCGGCCTCCCATTGGCCGCCGCCAATTTTCTTCTCGGGGGACGGGGCGGAGAGACCTCGGGGCGGGGCCGGCGCCCTGGGCAGCGTGGAGAGCTCGGCCCACAGCGGTGCTGCTGGGTGGCGGCGGGAAGAAACGGCTCCTCTCCTGTGGGGCCACACTTGGAAATCCCCAGCACGTTTAAACGTGGTCAGGGTTCCGCAGACCTGGAAGTGTCTCCTCCCCACCCGATGCTGCTGGGGTGCTCCTAGGCGCCCCAACTCCCATTCTAGGTTTTATACTGGGCGCGGGAATTGCAAACTGCAGGAATATTGCCATCATCCGCGCGACTCGGGTGGTTTGTAGAGGGGGTCCCGACGGGGCCCGGGGGCTCTGGAACTGAGTCGAGAGGGAGGCGGCTCCTGCCCGACTGCACGTGGAGACGCGGTGGGGGCGGGGGCGGCCACGCGGGCGGCCGCGGAGGCTGTCTCGCCCGAAGGACCCTGGGCCGGTTTCTCCGCCCCACACCCCGCCCAGGCTGCTGTAAACAGCGCTCGAGCGCTGGGGCCGGCCGGGCCGGGCTGAGTGTCTGAGGACAAGGCGCTGGCTTTGCTAATCACATCACAAGACCTTGAGCCGGGGCCAAAGGCGCGGAGTGGCGCGGGGCTCTCGGGCGGGGGAGCCTGCTCGGAGGAAAGGCCGGGAAAGCCGCGCTGGCATGGAGGAGACTTCCCGCCACCTCGTCCTTCTGCTGGCCATCCCGGCCTTCCCCAGCCTTCCGGGGGGTTAGGGTGCAGCTGCCAGCCGTGGCTCCCCGCCCGCCGCACCCTGGGCTCTTCCTTCCTCCGCCGTTGGGGGCGCTGCGCAGATACTTAGATTGTGGGCTGCAGGCTCTCGGCCTGAGGGTGACGGAAGGCCGGATGGGGGCTAGGCACCAAGGACGCGGATGGAGGTGCACCCTCCCACGACACTCCTGTTTTCCTCTGTGTTCACTCTCATACCCTAGACCTGTGCCAAGAAATGCACTTTGCAAACGTTCTTCCTCTGCCCGGCGCTCATTGAGTCTAAAAGGTCGCAGACAACCCCAAACAGGCAGGTCTCGGGTATGGTGTAGTGCCGGACACTTGGTACTTAGGTCGGTACATGTGTTGCTGAAAAGATGGGGTGGGCCGGCCACTTCACACACCTGGCAGCCCAGACTGTAATTTGGTCCAGTACCCGCCGGTGACCCACACCCTCTTACAAAATTGATCTTATTTCTTGTGATGGCTCCTTGTATTCCTTTCCATTTGGTGCTCTTTGAGTTCACCAAAACGAAATGAACGAACAGTTCAGCTTGCACGCAGTTCCTGGGGTACGGCATGCACACAGCCCGGGAGCTTGTACCGTGGACCAGGTAGGGTTGCAAGTTAGGGTGGAGTTTAGGTGCTGCCCCTTAGAAGCCAAGGGACCTTCCTGCAAAATCACAATCTCTTGGATAAGAGGAGTTTCCTCATAAAACTAAGATTATACCTACTTTACTCATCTTACCTTTGCCGAGGTGCAAAATTTACCAGTTCAAAGCAGTTAAGAGACAAACAAGTGTAATCCATCTCATTACAAATTTGCAAAGCATAAACATGCACAAAACGAGGCTTCTAGACTATGGTCAGATGAGCAGATGATCGGTCACATGATCATGAAGGCAGAGCTGATTGACACCTTTGTCTTGCACCCTAGAGATTGGGCCAATGGAGAGTGATCTCAGAAGAGATGAGTGCTTGGCCCTTACAAGCTGCCTGTCTAGTCCCAGGAGGGGCTGGGCAACTGACCTTCGTAAGAACTTTGTTGTTTCATTTGTTCAACTGACCCCAAACACAAGATTTGGGGGTAGCCCCTAAGAGTGGGGTATTCTAAGTATCCCCTGGGAGTGCATGGGGAAGATTGCAGATATAAAACTAGTGGGAACATCTGTCCCACCTGTATTCCCTAGTTGGGAAGACAAAAACCTGGGGTAATCCCAGTCGACAGCTATGTGAAAACTTCCTTTGCAGGCTTAGGAGGGTTCTGGAGGTACCTACCGCATAAACATGTGATGGTGTATGTCTTGGTACAGAATACTTGCTGGTGTAAAAAAAACGAGGCTTATTGTAATGAAAATGCTTTCATTTTAAATGAAGAAAGAAGGAACGCTGGCCTTTTTCAGTGAGTGCTGGGGCTTTTCTGAAGCCAGTTTCACAATGATTCTACCATGGTTATCATCATGTTACATCAAGGCGTCCATGATTAGGTCTTCTCAGAACAAAAAGAAAGGACAGGCAACTTTCTACCAAGTGTGGACCACAGATGCCTAGCCGGGGAGTTAATTCAAGATCACAAAAAACACACTTTTGAACTGAATGGCGCACAAACCATTCAGGGAACCAGCAACTCTTTGGACACAAAATTAACTTCTTTCTCTGCCTCTTCCCATAGATCCCTTTCCCTGCTATTTCCAGTGCAATGATGTTTTTCAGCATTAGGTGATTTTATTTCAACGGGAGACAAATTATTTTTGAAATACAAGACTTTCTATGTGATCGCATCACACAGAACCCTCTCTCCTCTAAACTATCCTGTCAGAACTTTAACCATCAATAACATAATTACAAGCGACTGCTCACCTGAGAAATATTTAAATATTTACAGATACTAAAAGCTGGGCTAAGTTTATATACTATTACTGAAACGGCTTTTTCTGATAACAAGGATGAAAAATGAATGTGGATGAGGCTATGACCCATTCAAGCTATGATTTTCAAGATAACTGTGGATAACACTTATGCTGAAATCATAAATTAAAGCTGGCAAGCCAATGAAAAACAGAAACAGCAGCAAAAGGTATGCAAGAGCGACACCTGCTGGCTATTTGAGGAAGAGGGCCCGGCTGGGCTTGAAAAGGCCAGACCCTGTTAAGGCTTCTAGGTTAAGTCCTTGAAACATAGGGATGTGCTTTCTTGCATCTTAAATGAGTCTTCTTGTTGCCGCCACCAAGAAAATGATAGGAAACACTGTAGGCATCAAATAAATCATTTATTTGGGCTCCATTTTCTCCAGGTTCTTTCTAACACTTTCACCTAGTGGCAAAGTTGGATTTCTCAGCATTCACACACTTTCCCAGGGGGTAGGAGCACTAAGTGGCTCCTTTAATAAGTAGGATGGCATGTGTAGGTCAATGCAGAACTTCCACATGCAGACAATAAAAACAAAATTATTTGTACAAGGTTGATCCTTAATCCTCCCAGGACTCACCACTTGGATCATATTCCTGCCATTGCTAAATTGGAATACATTTAGAATTCCATCCAAATGGGCAGTTTGCCAATTAACCCAACCCCTATATCCAGCAAGAAAAAAAGAAAAGGAAAAAAGAAAAAGGGGGTGGTGGTAGGAGAAATTGTGTTAAAACCCAATTCTCTATAGTCAATTCACAACAAATGCAAGGGGCTATGGACTAGAGGTCCCGGGGGGAGCAAAAGGCCAATTCAGGCCGACAGGTGGCCTGCACCTGGCATCAGAATAAACTTCAATGTGGTAGTCTCACTTCCTACAGTAGCTGCAATAAACCTGCCTGCCTTTAATGAGTGAACTGAAGAAAAATTCCTCTGTAGGAAGGGACAGAAGAGTAGACTCAAAGAAGTGGGGGAGACATGAAAGGGAGAAAATATTTGAATTTATCTTAAACATGTTTTCGGCAGATTTGGTGGGGGAATAATCCAACCCCCAACCCCCCAAAAGCCTGCTTTCTTTAACAAGCCGCCTGTGTTCTTGGAAGAATTAACTGGTTCGCTTCTGCAGGAGAGTCAGCAGCTCTGACAACTGGGGTGTCCTTGCTTTCTTTTCCTTCCAGAAAGTCTAGAAGCCTCAGGCAAGCCAAAGTCCTTTCCTCCTTGATGCGCAGCTTCGTGAACTCCACTGTCTTCAAAAACACCGCAGCTGGGGGCAATTGTCTCAAGAGCTGGGCAAGGAGGTGGCGCTGCTGTGACGCTCCTCTTTGAAGGTGACAGAGCTTCTCAGGGCCTAGGGGACGCCAGCCCGATGTGGAGAGGAGATGGAAGAGGTGTCTGCTCAGGTACTTCACGAAGATCAGGGTCTCAGCCCAGAAGTTGACTTCTTCTTTTTCAAACAGATAGTCTTCCTCCACCTAAATCAAATGAAAATTCCCAAAGTTCACCTTGATGTTACATGCTCTAATTTGCACGGAGCAGAGTCCTGCCGGACTGAGCGTGTGTCCCCTCCCCCGCCGGACAGAGGGCCCACTCCTACCTGTCAACACCCACGCATTCACACCACTTACCACCCTGAAGGTCACCTTCTCTTCCCTGCACTCCACTGGAGAGGAATTCTCCCCCCCCCAGACTTAACATGATCTTTGATAAAGATGTGGTTTTTGGTTCAAAGCCAAGATATTTTGGGGAGCTGGTGCTGAAAGGGAACCTCAACATGGGAGTGGGCCCTAGACCTAAAGGTGCCCTTAGAAATCAGAGAAGAGGGAGGGAGAGACATCTTAGCAGCAGAACAAAGAACAAAGACTCGCCAAACATTAAGACACTAGTCTCTGAGGGTGAAATCAAATTTCTATACTGCTGGGTACTTTCAAGGTCATTTTACCACAGACTCTTTATCATGTCTCCAAAACTCCCATAAACAGACTGCTCCTTGAACTCCTGACCTACTGGGGATGCCAAGAAGGCCGGTTCAGTCAGATGCAGGTGGCTATGAACCTCAACTCTCAAGATGCTTCGCTGCTTGTCTTGTTCCTCAGTTTTCCTATCTGCTGATTGCCTCCCTGCCTGGAAGGGCCTAATAATTTCCTTCAACCTGCAAATATGCTTCAGGGTCTATGATTCTCTGGAAATAATTTACTTAACCATGAGGAGCCCCTGGCTGCTCCACTGTTATTGATAAGCGTTTGGCATAACTAAACCCTCAACTTCTCAGGGGCAAAAGCCGTCTCCCCCCATTCACCACCTACCAGACTGCTACGGGCATTGAGAGATTTTCCTACACAGCTGCTCTGCCCCTGGGCATTGGCACACACCTTCACGGGCATGTTAAGTCCAAGCAAGGCCACAGTGCTGAGCCAGTGGGGGCAGGACTCTGCAAAATCCTGCCTTCAATGCCTGAGGTCCTGGGGAGTACCTGATGCGCGTTTTCCACACGGAGAGCGAGGTCATCATCATCTTCCAAAAGCCACCCCAGCAGGACTGGGAGGCCAGAGGCCAGTTGGTCCCATTGCTGGAGCAGGTCACACAACACAGTGAGGGCCAGAGCCAGTGCGATGGAGGCATCCACCTGGCAGAAGGCAAATTCTGTGGGAAGGAGAAGAGTGTGCGATGAAGGTGCTATTCAGGCCAGCCGGGGAGGCTCTACAGGCTTGCATGATGGAGGGGCGCAGGTGAAATCACTGCCGCCAGCCCATCAGGGACGCAAGCCCAGGCTCACTGAAGGTTGGCAATCCACTTCTGAATCCTGCCGTCCGCACAGCTAGAATCAGCCATGGGCCTGAATGCCACCATTTCCACATTCAGTCCCAGCCCAGCAGACACACACGTATCTCCCCTCAGCCCTTCTGGTGTCACTGGAAGGATATCAGGAAAACGTCTCGCTGCAGGACAGGCCTGAACTCTACTAGTTCACCCCTTCCTCTGAAAGCAAACCCTACCGGGCACGTGGCACTCGCCACCTATCACATCTCCCAGTGGAGCAGTAGCAAACTTTTTCTTAAAGGACTAGAAGGTAAGTATTTAAATTTTGGGGGGTCTTGAACTTCAGTCACAACTACTCAACTGCTGAAAAAAGTCATATGTAAACACGTGGTTGTGACTGTGCTCCTAAAGCACTATTTACAGTTCTGAAATCTGAATTCTATGTCATTTTGATGTCAAGATTAAAAAAAAATCCCCCCAACTATTTAAAATGCTGAAACGGGGCCCTCCCTGGTGGTGCAGTGGGTTAGGATGCAGCACTGCAAGTGAGCCACAGCTACTTCAATGCGAGATTGATCCCCAGCCCTGGAGCTCTCCTGACATGCCTGCTGCTCCCCTCAGCAGTGTACTTTGTCGATCTGCCTGTTCTGTTCCCTGCTCTGTCTCTGGTGCATCCTCTCATGCCCCGCACCTCTGGCCTGTACCCCAGTTCTATAAGCATAAATAAATAAATCTTTCCAAAAATGCTGAAACAATTCACAATTCATGGGTTGTACTACAACAGGTGGTGGCTATCTTACAGTGATTTTATTTTCCAGGCACCTATTTTTCAAACTACTTGGGGAAGGGTACTGAAAGAATCCAATAGAGTGCAGAAAGAGGGCAGGGGTACCTTGGGGAAACCATCGCTGACTTCACACTTGGCCTTAGTTCTGTGTACAAATTTGAAAGAAGCTGAGGATGTTGACACTAACAACCCCAGTTCTCCTGCCTCCAACCTGAGGTCCCAAATGTGGGGCCACAATCCTACTGCACAGATGAAGAAGCTCTGTTGATCCATCATGCACCCACGCCTGTGTCTCTGTGACCCACAATCTGTTAACACTGTGTCTGTCCCAAATCCATCTCTCTAACCCCAGCGCACAGATGTGGCCCTGACCATTTGGCCCCCAAAGATGGTTGTGCATGGCACACAGGGAGAGGATGTGGTGTCTGGGATGGTGAGCTGATTTCCCCAGGGTGTCGAGTCAAACTTAACAGGATGGCCTCAGTGAGGAACTAGTAGGTGCCAGGCCCTCACCAAGTACTCTTTCTCCAACTTTCCAACACCCTACTTCAAGAGGAGGAATTCTGAAGAATCGGTTGTGTGTCTAGGGAACCAAAACAATCTGAAAAAG